GCGAGTGTGCACCAGCTGCAGACTCACCGTCGTTATTATGAATAACAGAACTAAGAAAAGCGCACTGCGAATCTTTTTCTATCTTGATAAAATTATTAATTCTTACTTTTGCACTTAAAATAAGAAGCACGCAAATTTCGCGTTGAAAAAATCTAGACAGAACATAAAAAGAGCAGGAGGAAACAGAAAATTATTGTGAAGATGAGAAGTGCAAGCTTAATTTAAGCAAATGAATGTAGCATTTAAAATAGATTTCCTTCATTTTTAAATGAAAAGAATTCATAAAAATTTGTTTACTGCTCAAATAGTTAAATAAAATATAACTAAATATACCGTGGTAAAATAATAGTAAGAATACTTAATGTAAATAGTAGTAATGATTGCACCATTTACAGATTACAGAAACAAAATTTTCTGTGAGTGATTAATTAATTTCATACTGTTAAAATATTTTTTTAAACTAATATAATATAAATTATGTATATATTGAATTATCGGAGTTTCATATATTTGATACCATTGTTATTTAGACAAGTTTGTATGTCATTGAAATTCCACATTCTTGAATAATTTAAAAATATATCATTTTGTAAGGCTATTTATAAAATATATAAATTGAGATTTTAATGAAAAAATATATAATTATCTATTTCTTTGCATTGAAATAAAGCTTGTATATAATTAAAGAAAGTCTGTAAACATTTTAATGGAAAAAAATATCTTCAGTGTATTTTCTACTACCTTTGCATATTAATTAGTCCTCATTTAACATGTTAAGAATTATATTAAGTCTTTAACACATAAGCATATACATAATTAATTAGTAAAGTTTTGTTATCTTCCCTTTTCATCTTTCATACACTCTCTTAATGATCGACAAATTATTTCCTCTGTTTATTTGATTTTGAATTTTAGTATATTCTATACAAATACGTATGATAGCGTAAATTATAAAAGAGAAATTATAAGAGAGAGAGAGAGAGAGAGAGAGAGAGAGAGAGAACAAGAGACAGAGGTGCAGAGACAGTGGTACAGAGACAGCGGATAAATACTGATCAAAGATACTTGCTTTATTGAAAACTTATTTTTAAGACACAATTCGAAAACGCTTAATAATATTTCACTTCGATCAACATTTAATAAATTAATATAAAATATCTTTTTTAACAAATCAATGCTATATGAAATAATTTAAATTTAAAAATTTCGAAATAATTTAAAATAACTGTAATATAATTTTTCTATAGCCAAATAATTAGCCAAATAAATATTAAAATTATAAATTACACTTATTTGCTAATATAATAATAATTAATAATTCCTTTAATTAATAATAATAATAATAATAACAATAATTAACTCCTTACATAAAAAAAAGTTTGTAAAACTTTTCTGTAATATATAAATAGCGATAATTATATACTATCAAAAGATAGATGTAATTAATTAAAAAAACATTAACACATAAACACTTTTGTATATTTTGAATTTTTCATAGACCTAAAATATAAAGAGACACAGTCAACTAATTTTTATTTAAAAAACAATTATTCTGAATTAAATATAAGCTCATCAAAAAATATATTTCATTATAGTAACTAATATAATATTTTTATATTATAATATATTGAACTAATGATGTAATGAATATTTAAAAAAATTTATTATACAAAATTTATTTTATTTTAGCTTCTAAAATAGTTTTGAAGTAAAATCGTATAAATTGTACAACTTGAGAAATTGATAACATGAACGTATCCAATACTTATTCGATTTTATTGTTTTTATAAATGGTTGAATTGTCAATTCATGTTCTATTGATTCATAAAGGGACACATTCTGACTTATTTATATTTTATGTACTATCCATAACATTACTTCAACGTATGCAGTTTTTTATATTTTTTGTTTCTTTTTCAATTCGCTTTTGAAATATTCATATTTTAGCTTATTCGATTTAACACGAAACACAAATTTGTATTCAAAATTAAATATGCCGTATCTTTTTTGTACAATTCCTGTTTTATACCCTAATATTACTAATGACACTAATCAACGCAACAAATTAAATCCGCTAAACTTATAATCACCCCATTGCTTATCTTGCATCCTATAGCAACGTCGTAATATTGACCGGTTTTCAATGAAATCAATATGAACAAGTGAAGCTCAAATTGAATTAATGATTAAATAATGAGTGAACCTCATATGGAATTAATATGATATGATGAGTTAAGCTCTTATTGAATTAATGCTGAAATGATTGACACAGGGGCTTTTCAGCAGATATCATTTTTCTGCATATTTGTTTAAACACTCGGAGATCAGATCGTCAGTTAAATCTTGACATTCTCTTTTTTCCATCACCCATTCATTTTGAACTTTAATAATCATTATGAAATTAGAAATGAGACATTTTTCCAATGAGTTCTCGTCCAGTTCTTCTATTTGACTCTGCGCTAGGGAATACTTCTTGCCTTTCTGTTTTGCATATTAATTCAGTTTGTTTAACGACACGAATTCATTATATTTCAATGTGAAGTCATTTTAATAAGCTTTGGGCTTCATTTTATAGAGAAAATTAAAAATTATATTTATAGCATTGTAGAAGATACTAGGATTGTTATATTCCAAATGAAATAGATTCTTTTACATTTTTATACATATCCATGGCTACAATGTACATATATTATATATGATATAAATACTTATAATTGGTGGTGATTTATCTATAAATGATCCAAAAAATTCATATTGATATAAAAAAATTAATCTTGTATGTAGAATATACAACTTTCTATTCAAAAGAAAATTATCTTACAGGGAAAATATGTAAACCCACTAAAAACAAAAAAATTGTACTTAGATAGGATATTTCTATGCAAATACCGTTTTATTATTTCTTCTATGGCATATAATTTATCATATTAAAACATTCATGAGAAAGGAAAAGATGCTAATAAACACATTAAAAAATGTCAGTAAAATAAATAGTGACTTTTAATCAAAGACGTAACCGATGCTAATAATATGTACGATTGAATTATATTTGAATCTTATTCCAACTTACAAATCAGTTTATGTAAGCGTATATATAAAATACTATATATAGAATAAATTATAATATTATATCACTATTATAAATCTTATGTTACGTAATTGAATTTAGCTTGCAACAAATTAAACTGATGTTAATTATATTATTAGCCTGTATTTATATACTTTATAATAAATTTTTCTTTCATAATTTTATGCTTGAAATAATAATTAAATAAAATTTAGATATATGAAGTAAAGAAAAAAACTTTAGGAGACATTTGGACACGCGAAATAACTTTTTAAAATATATTTTTAAATGGAAAAATACCGTTAAAGCCATTTTAAATAAAATGAAAAAAAAATTTATGTACAGAAACCATAAATAAGTTTTACATGGATTTTCAAATAAAAATGAAGTAATTTTAAATATCAAATTTGTACAAAATATCTCCAAAATTATTTCTCATAAATTTAACTCAATTTTTCAAAGAAATACTTTAATAATTTCACAGCTGAATCTACAACTCCTTTTAAAATTACATCAGCATACAAAAATGCAGCGAACGTTACTTTTAATTTCTCGATCTCCGCCCTTTCCCCAGCCATTCGCCTTTTTCACGCAAAGGGAATCGATTTTACGGCACGTTAATTCGGCATCAGGCGATAAAGTGACTAGAACATTCGCGTCGGGCCTTTCAGACAGATCAAATAAACTCTCAGTTGGTAAAAAAGCATCGTGGACAATAACACCGAGCAGGGTTTTTCGAAATTTTAAGAGTAGTTTAGCTGGTAGCACCGAAAATAAAATTGAAGAGAAGGAAGGAAGAAAGCGCAGTTAGCTTCCACGAACGTATGTAACATTTATTAAAAAATGTTCGTTAAATTCCATTATTAGATGGACGAACAGCCACGTGGAACAGGAAAATACGCGGTTCTGCGCGAGAACCCAAAGAGAAGAACGCCGCTGTCACGTTCCTGCCATAATTCTGCATTATCTGCAAGTTCACGGGCGAACGCGTCGGCTTGCGACAGATAGGAGCGTTGGAGCGCCCATCCAGAAGCGCGGCGCCGTGACCATCGCCGATCACGGATAATGGATACCCACGCTCGATATTCATCCGCGTCTTTTATATCGTCAGTCTTCGACTACCCGCGTCTTTTACCCTTGTGTTTCCTTCAGCTCGTGCAATGCGTCATTACATTCCACTCGATTCGTCAGCACGTGCCGATTAAGAGATTAAAGATTGAAAACGACAGTTAAATCACAATTTCAGCATTAATCGTTTTATTTTATTTTTCTTTTCTTTGGAACCATATGGCTATTACTTTATTCTTAAACTCGCGATTTATTGTTAGGTAAGCGAAAAAATGATAACAATCTTTCTTAATGATAGCTATTCCGTAGTAATAGATAATTGATATTAAATGCTCGAGTGGTGCTTAGTGTGAAAATCGATCCAATTCATGCTTAACTTGCTCGTGAATATGTGTAAAGAAGTAAAAAATTACACATTTACGTATGTTATTAAAATGAATTTATGAGATTTGTCATGATGCGAATGACCAAACAATCGTCTCACATTGAATTCAGATAAAATTTGAAACATTAACTAAAATTATTGTAATTTTAATGTTTAAAAAATTATTACATTAAAAATATAATTATTTATTTGTTTCTTATAAAGAATTTTATTAATAATTACAATTATAGTTTAAACGATAAAATATATAATTAAATATAAAATAATAATATATAGTAAAATAGGTAAGAAAATATATGTATCATATATAAGTAATATATAAAATTAGTTATTATAAAACTATAAATAAAATTTAAAAATTATAGAAAATTAATGCAATTGATATGGAATTTACAAAATGTCAAGAAACTTTAACGATATACATATATTAGGTAAAAATAGTCATGTATAAATTTTAATATAAATTAGAGTGTTTTATACCTCTATTATTCTTGAATGCGTGGTTAACGGCTGCATTCACTTTGCGTCTTGTATAGAGTAGCAAAACTGCTTCAAAGTAAAAGAAAGTTTTTAGATATTCAAAGTTCTCTCCCACTAGTTTCCCTCACACCCCAACACATCTCTTTTTCTCCCTCTCTCTTCCTCTCTCTCTCTCTCTCTCTCTCTCTCTCTCTCTCTCTCTCTCTATTTCCCTTTACTTCATACTTTTGACTTACTTTTTTCTTACAACCTTCTGCTTAAGAAAGTGCGTCATTAAAATTCCACCTAGTGAATAGTATTAGACAAGTACACTTTAAGATTTAATCCATGAATTTTATTGCTTTTCTTGCACCGGGTGTTTGACTTTCTCATATTTTAGCGTAAGTTCTAAACAGCTCTATCTGTAATAGATTACTCTATTAAAATAATTTCACATATAATCAAGGTTAAACAAACAATGATCGGCAGATTATACATAAAACTTATGTCTTTTTTCCATTCATAAGCTTAATATTTAAATTAATTATTAAAATTGAAAGATTTCAATAGAATAAATTCCTTACAATAATTAGTTTGCAATTATATATATCTCAAACTTATTATTAAGTAGTAAAACTTAAAATTGAGTAGTATATAATCAACAATATTAATTAAATGAAAAATATTGAAATTCTTAAACTATGAATTATAATAATATAATACTATAATTTCGATAAAATTCTATAATTCTTACAGATTATAATTTTACTGATCGATACACTTACTCTATTAATTATAACGAATATACATGGATTATAAGATATTTAAAAGAACCAATAATCTTTATTTATCCTTATTTTATATACTAGGGATTCTTGATATTTTATATAATAGGGAAGATGACCACAAATATAAAATATAGTGAAACTAAATATTATTAAGCAATATAATGCTTCAGAAAAATATTTTGTATAATATCTTTAAACATTCTAATTAATTCAAACTTATCTAATATTAATGAAAATTAAAGTTGTAAACATTAAATCAATTATGTGAAAATCATTATGTAAATATTGAAATTATAAATTTTTTTATTTTAAGTACATATCTATCGTTTGTTTCAACGATTACGATTAGTGATGCAAAAATATGATATTTATAATAATTGAAATTTGCAAATAATAATTATCTACAATAATAATTATTATAAATTAAAAATATCTAGATCTAAATTAAGATACATTTTCAAGAAAGAACCTATTCATTTCAATCCTATTTTTCAAGGCTTAACCATTTTGAAATGTAGAATAAGGAGTTTAAAGAAAAAACTTATGTTCTCAAAATTTTAAAGCGTTCAAATGTATATAAAACGTTATTGGTATATATAATGAAATGATTTAATTCATAAAACTATATAAATGGAAACATAAAACAATAATATACATAATATAGTCATAAAACATTGTGGCAAAGTATATAATAAATATATGATAAGCTGAGTTTTTTTATGTATTAAAATAAAATCATAAATCTGAAAATTTTTAAAAAATCTTTAGATACTTTTATTTAAATTTTTAAAAATTTCTAATATCTAAAATACTTTTGAACTTATGAATGATAATGCTTATTTTATGTTTAAACTTTTACATTAATAAAGGAAAAACATTTTCAAAAACCATTATTTAGCATACAAATATACTTTGAAAATTCTATATTAATTTTAACCTTTTTTTATATTCGTTTTATATAAAATTGTTTTCAAAGCTTACAAATAACTTATGTTAATACCATCCAACTATATAATCGTTGTTAATTTTTATAGTACCTTATTTTAACATAATTCACTTGCAGTTAAAAATGTTACATCTTTTAAATCTTTTGCATTAAAGTACTTTTAATACAGCTTAAATTAAGCAAATAAATGAAGAGCATTTAATGATTTATTAGATAATTTTTTAGAATAAACGAATATTGGATTCTAGATTAGTGATAATTCCAATTTCAGAAATACAATTAATATATCTGTATAGTATTAGAATTTGTGAAGAGTATGTACACAAATTGGTACATACAAATATAAAATACCGATATATTATAAAGTTCTTAATATTTTGAAATATTATATATCAGTGTATTTATATCAAAATACATGCATATTATATCGACTGTTCACGCTACCATTCCTTTTTATCAAATCTTTAATGCAACTACGCAATTCATGAGAAAAAACTAATTTAACTCGTATGATATATAGAATATAAAATTAAAAAGGTACGATTATTGCCAGTGGAAAATCAGTAAATTTAATCAGAACGTCAATATTCGCTCTTTTTCGTGAGAGGGAAAGAACATATTGGCAGAAAAATAGTATGATAGAGATATTGGAGCGGGCGTAAGTTCGATATGCGCGACTTTGGGCCAAGAATGATTTAAGAGATGTTATCAGCGGGTTGAAGTTACGAAGTTGAAACGACCTCGTCAGCAAAATGTTCATATCAATTCTGTATAGCATCCTTGCCATCCAGATTTCTGACTTCTAACGCTGCTCCACGTAGAAAGTTAATACGTACGCGCGTAACAACTAACATACAGTTACTTGCAAATATACGGAGGCTGCTCCCCAATGCATATCCAGCTCTGAAACACTCTCATAAATGAGCAACGATGCTACAGAATTACAAATCACTACTAAAGGTATTTCGTATTACAATGAATGATGAATACTCGGTGATCAGTACTGATTTGTATGTAAGACTCTATGCAATGTACCAGTAGCAAATAATAATTGTTCAGAATCCCAGGCACTGTCAATCGTGTTTCACTTTTATCTTATTTTATGGCAGCATAATAATCTACTTTCCATATAAATCTTTGTAACATTTGATTTACATTTTAAACTGTGACCTGCAAGAATAATAATAACAAATAATTATGCAAATAAAATATTACTCGAGTAAATTTAAGACTAAATTAAAAAGAATGCTATGGAATAAATATTTCTACTCAAAATAGATATATTCAAAGTAATTCTAGAAATTATTCAACATTGTTATTGCAATACAATTGTTAACGCATAAAGCCTAGAATTTTGAATAATCTATAAAACTGTAAATAGTAATATTGAAAAATGTAATTTAGTATATCAATTCAATATAAAACAGATATAAAATAATTTAAGTAAATGTCATAATCATAACAATGACTTTATTTCAAAACAATTGCTCCGATTTCGTAATGTAAACATTACTTATCATATTCTTCTCATTATATTCGACTTACTGTATTCTGTAAATTCAATATAATTTTCAATGATAATTATTTTATGTGAACAATTTTTAAAGTAAACTTCTCATTATGTATATAATCAGATATCTTTGCAATTATGTATATATGTGATATATGGTACGCGTGTATATAATACCTACACGGCTCCACTTGCAAGCATCAAGTTCAGCCTTAGAGATTCAAGCACCGAATGGAGCAATTCATCTCTAATAAAGGTACGCTCAACGTCTATCATCATCGTCTCTCGAAATGCTCTTCAAGCCACTCCTATTTATCGGCTATCCACTACTCTTCGCATACAAATGCATTGTCAATGCAATGCCGAGTGATGAATTAGTAATTAGAATAGAAACCAACAACATCCAGAAGTCTAGGACGTTAGATCAGAAGTGATGCAAGAAATACAGCTCTGCTTCTTTCTGTAATCGTTGCTCTAAATTTAGTTGTTTATACGATTACTCGAGTACTATGAAATGTACATCAAATAAATAATGTAATGGATAATAGTTCAAGAATTTTGCTTTGAATTCAATATCTTTCATTCGCAACAGTTACATAATGTGTTTAATCATATATTCGAACTATGTTTTAAAAACTTTAAATATAGTGAATAATTAATTCTTATATTAAATAAGAATATTTAAAAGAAAAAATATCGATCGATTAAAAAAGTGAATATTAAAGTTTAAAGTGAATAAAGTTTCAACAAAGTTTCATTAAAGAAAAGTAAAAAATATATGCATAGAATTTGAAAATCTATAACTCGATATCATATTTTTATCATGTTCCTGTAACTTTGCATATAAAGCAACATATTTCGTTGTTTTTGACAAATCACGCAACTTTATTATATACGTCGTCTACATATAATTTTACATTATTTTTTTACTACTGGTTACTATGTTACTGGTTACAGCAAATTATTTTTATTTACCATAAAGAATGAATAATGAAATCAATCAAGTATATGAAAAATAACAAAAAATCGACATAAAACAATTTCTAGTACAGATTGACATATTTAATAGGTTTCAATAGCGAATAATGGTTAGTATTAAAATTAGCCTCTTCCAAGCCACGCCAACTTATGTATAATTGAAATTTGACATTAATGTAACGAAGCGATTTATTTAATTTGTAAAACTGTATCATGAATAAGAATTAGATACCCTAATATTTTTTGCAGACCAACTTTTTATAGACTATATAAAATCATTAATATAATTATTCAGATTTTACTCAAGTGTAGACTATCAAAATAATTTAATGAGACATCTTATATGATATATCTATATGAAATAACCCTTTACTTCCTCAAAGTAAAAATAATGTTATTCATTCAAAATGACAAAAAGTTTAACTATATTTATCTAATTCGATTAAATTACAAACAAATATTTATAATTTAATAATTTTTTCACAAAACAAAGACATATTTATAATGAAAATAAATAAAAATTGAAGCTAATGTAACTTAAACCAACAATTCTACAAAACATAAAATAAATCAAAATTATTAGATTTATTATAAGAATATTACTTTTTATATATCTAAAAAATACATTTAATTTATTAATAAATGTGTATTTAAAAATCGAATATAAAATAATAAGTTCGTTTCATTTTTACATCACTGTATAATGGCAATGTAAATTACATAGACTTATAACATTTTTTTTTAGTTTGTACGTAACTATTTAATTTTACCTTTACTACAAATAATAATATAAGAATAAACTTTTTTGCATGATAAGTCAAACTGAATTTTCTGCATAAAGTGCACTCACTCACCGGATAATCCTAAAACATAAAGTTTATAATAGCGAAGCATGACAGATACTAAAACTGAACGATAAAATATGTAATCGGACGAATTGCATATATTACATGAAAATACAAACTTATAAGTGTTTATACGTAACAATGGCAACGTAAGTCTTATTATTTTTTATATATACAATCCAGTAAAAATGCAACTATAAATAAATAATTAGTTTAAACAAAAATGATTTCAGTAGAATTTTGCTATTCATATGATTTGGAAATTTTTAATTAATTGCAATTCATTCTTTTTCGTTTATCCTTCAAATATAAGAAAATTACTGTTCAATAAATAATGGATACTCATTAAATAATGAGATGTCAATATTCACTTATCAATGAGAATAGAGGAAGGTATGTAGCAATAAAAAATAAGTATTACTGGATGAGAGAGAATTGCGAGGAATGTAGAGTGACTCGCGAACATTTAGCGCATCAGCGAGCATAGAGACATGGAAATGAGGCTCAAAGTGTTCAGAATAGTTAGGGCGGTTACTAATGTCGAATTGGCACGAGCACACTTGATGACGGGTACCGGGGAAAGAGAAGACTAGAGAGATAACCAGTGAGTGAGGGAGAGAAATACGTAAATCAAGAGGGGTGAGAAATGTGCCGAGACACGGGCACAGACGAGTAGAGAGTTATAGTAACAGGAAGTGAACTGCTGGATCTGTTTAGTCGTCCGTTATATAGTCGTGGATGCGCGCAATGAGCAATTCCATTCCATCCTTTAACAGAATCGTCTTTCTTCCTGTGCCCGTCTCCTGCTTCTCCTCTCTTTCTATGCCTATTTCAAGACCTTATTTATTCATCTTTTTCTATCAACAGTAGAAAAAAGCTGAAAACCATGTGTCAAATAATGGAATCTGTTAAAAATAATAAATTTACATTTTTTATATAAATTTACATTTCCATATATTATATAAATGTATAACAATGCATTTATATAACAAATATAAAATTAAAATTTACATTATATATATTAATAAAATATATATTCTATCTGTTAAAAATAATAATAAATATTTTTATTTCATTTTAAGGCTTAACTTACAAAATCCTACTATCCAATATAAGTGTGTGTGGCCCGCACGCACGCACGGAAAAATATAATTTTGTGTATTGCATTTAAAGTTGTTTTTAATCACGTCTAAAAATTATATTCTTAAATAAAGAATAAAAATAAAAATCATGCTTATATGCTTAAAAATGACGAAAATAATGGAAATGCATGTTAGTCGGAAAATATTAGAATATCAATACTCGTTTCATTAAAGTTTTTATTATTCTATTAAAATGATTAAATTCATTTATATACTCAAACGATGGTTTTGTATTTCATTTATCACAATTGGGCTATAAAAGTATCCTTTTTTCTATCCAACTTCTTTACTTAATAAAATTATGAATGAAAATTCGCATATTTATTTATTAAATAATATTATGACTCAATAAAAAACTTTTAATATGATTTTTTATTAAGCATCTATTTAGTTTAATATTAATGTATAAAAAACTTACACAGAAAAAAATAAAACAAGTTATAAATAAAATTTGTTTATTTCGATTTAATTAGATATACTGCCACTTGTACTGATAAACTTGTACGAATGGTCATGCGCAGGAGGCTACACAATTGCCTATCGCTCCGCTATTCTCTCAGTAACCGACCAACCTTGCAATTGCAACCGCTAACATTCAATACTACCAGAAATAAAAATGTAGAGCATATAAATCGCTTTCCTAATAATGAAAGTAAGTTTTCACGAATGACACTACATAATAAACTACTCAGATAATCCGATACCAAAACTACTAATACAAAAATTAAATTACTTTAAGTATTTATTTAAATATATACAAATTTGTACCTAATTAATAAAATAGATTTTTCATTTAATATTGGTACATGAATATTTAAACATTATGTTATCGAATTTAATGTGAAAAATAATGATGATAATTGAATATCATTTGTTGAATAAAGTTTTTTGTAAATTTATATTAAGCTTCTTCTGTTTCTTAAATTGTTATGATGTTCCAATAATCATATTAATACGTGAATGCTTGAGAAAGAATAATATACAAATAATTTCTAATACGATTACACGTAAATCAAAATTAATGTGAGTTACCAAAGAGGTATTCACGACTTGTCGAATACGGACGCTAATATAGAAATAGTAGCCTATATTATAGCAACCTTAATTAAAATTTAAAAGATTTAAATATTATTAATACGAAACTTTCTAAAAACTCTATTTAATTTCTATAATATCTAAATACTTATTCCATGATATATATAAATATTTTATATGTGAATATCTAATATTTACAATGAATACTACAGCCAAAGTTACGAAAATATGTAGTAATTATAAATTTTTATTAGCTACAAATAGTATATTAGCTAAAATTAATCATAATTATACACTAATTATAATTATTGATTAGATTGTTATTAATTATATTGATTATCAATGTAACTAGGACAAAGTAAAGACTTATATAAAAAAATAATTAAAAATATCTGTTGGGTTTGACCATTTTCTTATTTTATCGTGGTATTTCATTTATTATATTTCGATTGCCTTCCTCTCTCTCTCTCTCTCTCTCTCTCTCTCTCTCTCTCTCCCGTCATCAACATCATTACCATAAAATAATCACGATAAAAATATGGAAGAAAAGCTATTTGTACCCCT